GTTAAACCTTGAAAATATGATGAAGGCCAAAGATAAGGCTGTTACCGGTCTAACCAAGGGTGTTCTGAACCAGGTACGTACGTACATCACGAAATTAAACTAAAATTACTAACGTTAACATTAAGGTTAGGGAACTGTCAAATATTAGCTTGATATTGTACAGTACCGGGCAATAAAAAACATCCACTATTTATATATAAAATATATAAAAAAGAATAACTCAGACAAAATCTGTCTTACAGATTTACAGATTAATTGCTTTTAGTCTAAGCTACAATTCTGTTAGAATAGATTTTTATTTTTTCTTATAAGATTGAATAGCGATAGTTATTTCAAAAGGTATATATGCAATTTTGAATCTCCCGTCTACCTCAACATAATATAGCCGACCAATCAAATTCAAGCACTAAAATTACTAACGTTAATTTGAAATCAAGATAACGATAATCTAATATGTACTAACTACGTAATGTACTCGGGCTATTTTTTTGTCTCAAAGTTTGTATCCAATATTTCTCAAAACGTAGAAGAGATTTTAGCTCTCAAATCGTTTCCGAGTACGGTAATAATAGATACATGAAAAAAATATTGATTTTTACTTATTAAAAAATCTAACACTTTATAATATAATTCTAATAAGCATTTCGCCAAACATTACGATTGCAATGTATCACAATCAGTGTTGGCCCCTGGACTGGACCGGTCCAATGGACCACTACTGGACTGGACCAGTCCAGTCCAGTTCCAGTACTTACTGGAACTGGACCTAAATAATAAATTATATTTATAAAATTTTATAACTATATTTAAATATATTAACTTGTACTTATTATTTAAATAGCATCTAAATTTTGCTACTACACTTAATTCTATTTATGTAATGAGATCCTACTTCATTTCACGATTCACGAATGACACGTGCCAATTCCGGATCGACCTAAATTGTGTAACGACGCGGAACAAATAGACTACAAAACCTGCATTTCGTCCCGAAATAATATAAAATTTTATATGAAACTAAAAAAGACATTCCTAGATATACTGGGCTTACATATTTATCGTAGATCTACTTGCATGCAACTTTAAAAATTATTTGTACATAATGTTCACGCTAAACTTGTAAACCTTAGGTCTAACGCTAACAC